TTAGAGTGTAGGGTTTCCTTTATAACTTTGGTGTCTGTGTTTTGCTGCGGTTCTGCGATTTGAACTGTAAACCAGGGCCGTCCTAAACCCTAAACCTTAAACCCCTAAACCTAAACCCCTAAACCCTAAACCCTAAACCCTAAACCCCTAAACCCCTAAACCCCTAAACCCCTAAACCCTAAACCCTAAATCCCTCGCCTGGCTTGCCCGAGTTGTGAGAGTGTAAACCCTAAATCCCTAAACCCTAAGCTTGCATCCCTTACTAAAGATTAGATAAACCCTAAACCCTAAACCCTAAACCCTAAACCCTAGACAATTAAGGAGGCCTGTCGGGCTGCAGTTGAAGACTTCACGCTCCACTCTGCTAGTGTTGATGATAGAAATCCTGCATTAATGAGGGTTTAGGGGTTTAGGGTTTAGGGTTTAGGGTTTTGGGGTTAGGGGTTTAGGGGTTGGGGGTTTAGGGGTTAGGGGTTTAGGGGTTTAAGGAATTAGGGTTTAGGGGTTTAGGGTTTAGGGGTTTGGGGTTTAGGGTTAAGGACCCTAAACTATGGGAATTATGGTTAGGGTTTAGGGTTTAGGACGTTACCTTAAGGAACCTAAGCTATGGGACTATTCCTTATTACGGGTAATGCAAGATATTATATCATCAACCGTAGTTAGACGTTTGCTCTGCCACCGACAGGTTGTTCCTGGAGCGCACATAGGTTTTCCATCTCTCTTTTTTTCGTTTTGATGGATGAATGATTTGGTTTATGTTGGCTGTGACAGACAGAAACGACAATTCTTGTTTATCCATACTCCTTTATTCTCTAAACCAGGGTCCCTTTTTCAGGTCCCCACATAGCACGGCGCCTTTATACAAAGGACCCTGAAAGGTATCCTAATTGAGAGAACTACCCATATACTGATCAGAAGTCGAGAGAGTAGCAAGAAAAGGGGAGGGCTGATGGTGGTAGGCAGATCTTCCAGGCTATAGTATCCTCTCATAGTCCCTACATATGCCGATGCTCTCACATGCCCCAGAACCTGCTTCCAGTCCGCGCATGTACTGGTAAACTAAAATGCCCCCAAACCCTGTCCAAACCTATTCCAAACTATAATTCGTTTTTAGCGGCACCATCGCAAAAGAAACTTCGCCAGTTGCGCAGGATGCGATAAGCAAGGCACACGGTCGTGACGAAGCGCACCGGGAGGTGCTGCCAGACGAGTGATTGTGATGCAGCATGCAACACTGCAAGTCAACGATGCCCAGGTTCGTATGGTTGATTCTGCCAGCTACTTCATAAGCCGTCCACGCTGTACACAGTTCCTCCCCTGCGATTGCGAAACCTATAGGAATGCATGTGCAGTTCGCGTTCTGCCATACTGAAATGTTGACACGCGGATGCGAAAGCAGTTCCGTCAAATGGACTTTGGCAACACCGTACAGGGGTGGCTAAATCAACGAAGATTTCGCGAAGAATCAGTCACGGAAATGGCAGGATTTCGCTTGTTGGCCTGGTATTCAGCTAATGTGGGAACCTGATAAAGAAACCCTGACCCCATAACCCTCAAAATAGTA